CCGCCGTCTGGAGAGACTGGACCACCTGGCCGAGAAGTTCAAGCAGAAGTGTGGCATGCATGAAGCCTGGACTGCAGGTAGGAATGACAACGGAAACCCACGCCGACTCCCCCTGCCTGCCGGTGTTGATGACTTTGCTAACTGCGTTTCAGGTAAGGAGGAGCTCCTGTCTCAGAAGGACTACGAGTCGGCTTCTCTGATGGAGATCAGAGCCTTGATGAGGAAGCACGAGGCCTTTGAGAGCGACCTGGCCGCTCACCAGGACAGAGTGGAGCAGATCGCCGCCATCGCCCAGGAGCTGAAGTAAGACGCCGCAACGTCCCAACAGGATTCTGCTGCTGACATCAGCAGCATCGGCCCGTAGGAGGGACAGAAGTGTTGGGAAGGATTGAGAGAGCAATCAAAGTGTGCATAAGACAAGTGGAAAGTGCAGATTTGCTGTCCAGAGAAACCTCTGAGTGTTTTGCTGCTTCTCACAACTGAATTTTCCCTCGTGTTCCTGAAACAATCTCTGAGCTTATAGACGGCGTTTGAGATGTTCAACAACATGGCGGATGACTATAGGCTTAAAAAAAAAAAAAAAGTCACGGTTTGGCTTTCAAAGCTTCAGAACCATGTGTGTCAGGTCAAGAAGAGCCAAATAAGATCAGATCCACTTATTTTCAAGAAGCTGTAGAACTGCAGAGCATGATGCTAGATTTACATTTTAAGGCACGAGTCACACTAAACTTACTGATGCGATCTCATTCAGTGAGCTGGACTACCATGATGCTGCTACGGTGAACGCCCGCTGCCAGGGGATCTGTGACCAGTGGGACAACCTGGGGACCCTGACCCAGAAGAGGAGGGACGCTCTGGAGGTAAATAAAAAACAAAATCCTTAACACATAGAGATCAACTCAGGCTGCAAAGTTGCCTTCATATGTTGGGTGTCTTTATTTGAAAACTGTTGCGTTTGTGTGAGTGCAGCGTGTGGAGAAGCTGTGGGAGACCATCGACCAGCTGTACCTGGAGTTTGCCAAGAGGGCAGCTCCCTTCAACAACTGGATGGACGGAGCCATGGAGGACCTGCAGGACATGTTCATCGTCCACAGCATCGAGGAGATCCAGGTGCTCGCTTGTTCTCCGTTCCCTTTTTTCATCCGAGACGTCGCTGTGCAAAGGTTTTGACGTCCAACTGGACTTTTCCAAATGGTGTCAAGTTGGAAATACAAACATTAATATATTTGAAAGAGATTTTAAGTGATCAGCATAAAGCAGTGGAAGTGAACGGAAAATTGGTTTTATTTTTTTTTTTTTACAAATGAAAAACTTGCTTTTGTATTCAGCTTTGTCACCTCAAACAAAATCACCTGTTACTAGAACAATCTTAAAACGTCTTAAATTCATGTTTTTATGTCTTAATGTCTTAAAATTCAAGTCCTTTTAAGAACAAACCAGGCTTGTTGCAGCTGAGCTTAGTTGTTGCGTATATAAAATAAAATGTCTTAAATTAATTTCCACAAAATGTAAGTTAAATATGTTAATTAATCACAGCTCTCATATTTTGTTGTGACTATTTAATATCATTTATTTTACACAGTTTATTTCTATTGCAGGACTTTTCTGTCAAGCAAACGTGTGTATTTGTTATTGTGCACTAATATAGCCAATGGGACTAGTGACGGAAAATTAGCCACCTAGCTACAATCTAATGTATTTACATGTAAATGCTCAATAATAATACATATTGTCCCATTTTAAAAAATAAACTTGAACAAGATGCAGCAACACATCTTCATTCCCTTCTGTGACTCGAAGCGGTTGAGGCTAGTGCTAACTAGCTGCTAATATATCCTTTCTAGTTAGCTAGCTGGCTTCTTTGCATCCATTTTCTATAAAACTAACGACTGGATGATGATGTAAGATTTTCAAGGCTGTGCATTTCACTAAAAATCAGATTAAAAAATGACAATGTAATTTCTCTAAATGAGAAATATTGATTTTTAGAGAATATTTGTGTAAACATTAGCCTTTGTCTTCCTGCTCTCCAGAGTCTGATCACTGCTCACGACCAGTTCAAAGCCACTCTGCCCGAGGCCGACAAGGAGCGCATGGCCACCGTCGGCATCCACAACGAGATCCTGAAGATCGCCCAGACCTACGGCATCAAGCTGTCCGGAATCAACCCATACACCAACCTGAGCCAGCAGGACATCAACACCAAGTGGGAAACTGTGAGTCAAAGCAGACGTTTCCCCAGAACCAGAGTCTCACTCGGTAAAGAATGGACGATTAACGTGGAGGATAACCGCTTTAAGTCGCATTCCTGTGCAAACAGGAAACGTGAACCGATGTTGCATCTCCGTGCGCTGCATTTGGTCATCCAGCTAAAAATAAGTGGTACATACCAAGCGAGGGGGTCAGAAATAGTAGCTGTAAGTTTAGATTGGACTGATACAAAACGCTAGAGCATGTAAAACTGTCAGGGGAAATGAGAAGAACCACACGGGACAATCTGTCAGATCTGGTGGAGGGAAACGCGCTGTAGACCGTCTACGACAAGAAATGAGAAAACATGCTCAATTCCTTTAAATAAATAAGAGTTTATTTCATAATCAGTCAATTGATTCCACATTTAGACATGTGATTATTGGTGAAAATGACGTCACGCCCTAAAACTGGATGTTATTGTGCAGGTGAAGCACCTTGTACCCCTCAGAGACCAAATGCTGCAGGAGGAAGTGGCAAGACAGCAGGGCAACGAGAGGCTGAGGCGCCAGTTTGCTGCCCAGGCCAACATCATTGGACCCTGGATTCAAACCAAGATGGAGGTACAGCAAAAATAAACTGTACAGTGCAGTCAGTCCAATCTGGGAAAAAATGTCTTGATGGAGAAAACCAGTTTGGGTTGATTTTTATGTTCAAATTTCAATCATCCACCTGTAGATCAAAGGTGAAATTTAAGGTTTTAGGGATTTTCTCCACTGTCACATGTGCAATAGATTGGATGAAATGCCTCATTATCATGATGCAAACACAGTAGGTAACAGCGTTCTTCACTTCCTTGACTCATCCAAACATTTCTTTGGTCGTTGGATGTTGTTGTCACCGTTCTCCACCCCGACAGGAGATCAGCCACGTGTCTGTGGACATCGCAGGCTCCCTGGAGGAACAGATGAACAGCCTGAAGCAGTACGAACAGAACATCATCAACTACAAGTCCAACATCGACAAGCTGGAGGGAGACCACCAGCTCAGCCAGGAGTCGCTCATCTTCGACAACAAGCACACCAACTACACCATGGAGGTCCGACGACCACAGTCTCAACTTCATCCGCCGCCCTCTCTCCATCTGGGCTTTACGTCTGCCATGCCAACGTTCTCTCCTCTTCTCTCCATCATAGCACGTCCGTGTGGGCTGGGAGCAGCTGCTCACCACCATCGCCAGAACCATCAACGAGGTGGAGAACCAGATCCTGACCCGCGACGCCAAGGGCATCAGCCAGGAGCAGCTCAACGAGTTCAGGGCCTCCTTCAACCACTTCGACAGGGTGAGGCGGCCCAGTCTGGGAGCATCCTCCTCTCCGTCTCAACTTTGAGTGCTGTTGAGTTGACCCAACGGTTCTGATCTTTGTCTGCAGAAGAGAAACGGCATGATGGACCCAGACGACTTCCGTGCTTGCCTCATCTCCATGGGTTACGATCTGGTCAGTGCAACCAGTTCAACCACAGACGGACCTTTCAGGCCTTCTACGCTTGTTCACTCAGATGCTAAAGCTCGTCGTTGAAGTCCTCCATGTTTTCACCGACAGGGTGAGGTTGAATTTGCCCGCATCATGACGCTGGTGGACCCGAACAACACCGGCGTAGTGACCTTCCAGGCCTTCATCGACTTCATGACCCGCGAGACCGCAGAGACCGACACCGCAGAACAGGTCATGGCTTCCTTCAAGATCCTGGCTTCAGACAAGGTAAAAGACACGGGACCGGTGGCGCCCTCCTGCAGGACAGGCTCAATGAGGTTACTGTATGAATACAACAGTTCACTGAGGAACTGGAGAGTCGCTCCCTTTACTAGAGATGGGGAAATGCCGCCATCTAGTGGTCTTACAAAGTCCTACACGAGTTTGTGTTTAAATCCAGTAAATGCAGGATTAAAAATGGCTTAATATCTGGGAAAGTGAAAACATTTTTATGTGTTTTGGCCTTTCATCCAAACAAAAATGTAATTTAATTTCCCTTTGGGATTTAAAAAGTATTTTTGAATTTGAAAACGGTGTTCAATATTTCTAAAAACTGTGTATGTGTACATGGGAATATTTAAATTTAATAAATAAATAAACCCAAACATACAGAGTCTACACGATAAATTTAATAACTTTACATACAAAAACACTATTTAAAACCTATATATATCTTTCCACACAAATTAAGTTCAACTCCTTACAGGAAGTTGTGATTGTTTTGAAGCATTCTGATTTGCTGACATGGGGTTTAGCATTGCGCTACACTGCCCCCTAGAGGTTTGGCACGCTTAAAACTCTGAAACTGATCATGTGTCTATATATGTATATATATATATATATATATATAAAATTTAATAAATGATGAGTCGGAGGTATTCGTTCTCATAAACAACCGGCTATGTGTGAACAAGGTCTTTGTGGTTTTCGATGGGTCTTTGTTTACCCACGGGAACAAATATTCTCGTTCTTGACCAGCTTAAGTCATTTTAGACGAATTAAGAGCCTAAAATCACAATTTAAATTTTTCTAAGTGTAATAAGTTGTGCCCTCTGACTGAGGCGACGGTTTCTTCTTGCCTTTCTGAGTCACGCGTTGCCTCCCTCTCCACGCTGCAGAACTACATCACAGTGGACGAGCTGCGCAGGGAGCTACCGCCCGAGCAGGCAGAGTACTGCATCAGCCGCATGACCAGATACATCGGAGCCGACGCTGCCCCTGGCGCCCTGGACTACATCTCCTTCTCCAGCGCCCTCTACGGAGAGAGCGACTTATAAACCCAGCTGCTCCCGCCTCGTGTTCTCCTCCTCCTCCCCCCCAGCTTCTATTTCTCCTGTTTGGAGAAAGCGATTATAAACCCTTCCACTGTCCCTCTAAATGCTTTGTCCTCCTCATTTTATCCACCCCCCCGTCAAATCTGAACTTTTCCCCAATGATCCCCCTCCATCCCAGGAACACTGCTTAGAGAGGAGGAGAGCAGGAGACTTTGCTCAAATCTTAAACTGTGTCAGGTTTGAGTTTTAAGCAGAGAGAGCCAGGTATAACGTATAAAAGCGCCATACGTAGATTATACCGGCCTTAACGGAGGAGCTAACGAGAGGGTTATTTTTTGAGCAAAGCCTCCCGCTCTCCCTCCTCCCTATCTTATTATTCTTTTTGTAGAAGGGTAATTAAAGAAGAAAATGTGATAAAAAAGCTGGTTGGTCCGTTGGCTTGGTTGGTTGTGCATTTGTGCAGACGCATGCTTCGTTTTAAAAAGTTTAGAAAAACGCCGCATTTCGAGTCGTCGACTCTTCCTTATATCACGTCGAAACCCAAACGAGCGCCTGCAGGGAGTCTGTCAGCAGTCAGGGACTAAAAACGTGTCAATGTGAAGTAACGACTGTGAAGCCTGAACGTTGGCAGAGATTGACTTTAACCTGGAGATCTTAAGAAACTCAGGAACTTATGAAGGATGAATGAGAGCACCTAAGCAGAGGAAGGGAGCACAAGGACGGCCGTGGCTCGATGGCGGTTTAGGAGAGGAAAAACAGAAAGACGACGCAGGAAACTAAAGGAGCAGAACGACTGGCACGGCTCCGCTCTTCCTGTCGGAGGAAGGCGGAGCGATGTCAGCAGGGAGAGAGTCAGGAAAGTTGCAAACAGTAAGGATGGATGCTGCATGTGGGACCACAGCAGGCCCGTCGCTGAGGAGGAAACTGAGGGTTTGGTCCCATTTCCACAACCAAACATCGGCCATAACGATACTAATAATCAGTGCAAGTCGACTCCTCTGTGCATGTTCAAGGTGTTTTTATCTCGTCTCCTCCCCTCATTCTCAGTTATTTCTGTCCATCATTACAGATGCTTAAAAAAACAACACACATTCAAACAGCTACATTTAAAAACAAAGCTGGAATAAAAATGGATAATTATATTATTAAACAGCAGTTTGTGTGTTTTTCTTCCACGATTTCAGACTCTTCAACTCATCTAAAAATTATAATAGTCCATGGGTTAGTTAAAATGACCAGCACTTCCCACAGTCTCTCATTTGTCCATATAAAATAATAATAAAAAGTCTAAACGATACAAAAACAGCTCACGCTGTGCTAGTTTTTTTTTAATTCACATGTCCATTTCGCTGCTGGAGTCCCAGCAGAGATGGGAGGGAAACATCAGGCCTCTTTCTAGAGCGAAGCGGCTCCAGTGCTCCTCGTCTCCCTCGTGCGTCAGATACCTGCAGCCCATCCTCAGCTCGAACTGCCTCAGGTCGCACCACAGCTGGAAGTTCTGCACATTAACACAGCGAGATGAAAACCACATTACGCAACCAGACATGAGATTCAGCTTGTATTTTATTGCATTTACTCTTATGCCCATAAAAAAGCTCCAGTAGTTACTGAATTAGCAGCCAGAGAGAGAAAGTGTGAGGTACACCGGGGGGCGCCAGAGTTCCTCAATGGAGAGAACAGACGTTTTAATAGTTTAATGTTTTCTGAACAGGTTGTAGTTGAAAATGAGAATTTGTTCTCAATCAACTTATCTGGATAATTAAAAATAAATAAACAGCATGGGTGGGGGTGGGGGGCGGGGCGGGGGTCCAGAAAAACTATGGACATTCAGACAAGTTCCTCAAACCTACACCAGAGAAAAAATTTAGTTTTAGTACCTAAACATACAGAGTCTAGGCCAAGCAAAATAAAATAAAGTAAGTATGATCATAAGCATTTATAGATTGGATGTTTATGGGCTGGATCTGAAGATGCTCCACTAGTCGTTGGGTAGTTGGTGCTACAAACAAAACAAAACAAAAAAAACAGCATTTATCATCTTTAAAAGAAGAAACAGAAGTGCATTTTTAAGTTATGAATGGAACATCAAGTGTAGCCAGATCCCTTAGGAAGAGATGAAAATTGAGTGGACTTGAACCGTGTTGCAAATTGACAGAAATGCCAGTTTCTAATTTGATTCAGAATATAATAACACTGTTATTATTTGTCAAAATAAAACTATACATCATCATCCTCCTACTTCAGGGTTACACATTACTCTGTGTTGATCTGTTAACTTGAAATACCTGCAGCCAGGAATGCCCCAGGGCTTTTCCCACGGTGTACCTGCGTCTCACAGCCACCTGCAGCAGGTTGTTGATGAGGCTCACAGCTGCAGAGGAAGCGACAGGTGGAGTCGGTGTGGTTTGACTCTTGACAACACAACCCGCTCTGACTAAACCCGAACACAAGTTTAGCAAAAACATCGGCAAACGTGTTACAAAGTTTCCAAAAACCCCAGACCTTCCAGCGAGATGGTGGCCCAGGGCTGGCGGGGGTACATGAAGGAGGCGTTGGTGATCTGCTGGCGGATGTCCTCGTCCTCGTTGAAGGGGAACGTCCCGCTGAGGCTCACGTACATGATGACGCCCACGGACCACATGTCCAGGGAGCGGTTGTAGCCGCTGCTGCTGATCACCTCGGGGGCCAGGTAGGCCGGAGTGCCCACCACCGAGCGGCGGAACGACTTCTCGCCGATGATGCGCGCGAAGCCGAAGTCGCACAGCTTCACCTGGGGGAAGGGGTCGGCGGAGACCAGCAGCACGTTCTCTGGCTTCAGGTCGCAGTGGGCGACGTGTTTCAGGTGGAGGTACCGCAGCGCCTCGAGGATCTGTCACAGCAGGAGCAACGCCGATCATCGAATCATCGTTTACTCAAATACACACATGAAGAAAAGATATAGCAAAGAGAGAAGGCGCGATGCCACGGCTGTACCTGTATAACCAGGAACCGAGTGATGCGTTCAGGGAGCCGGCCCTTCTCGCTGGACAGAATCATCTCCAGCATGTCTCCGTGGAGCTTCTCCATGACCACGAAAACATGTCTGGACGTTTCAAACATCCCTTCCAGCACCACGACTCCATGGTGGGACAGATTCTGAGCAACAACACAACCATGACTCAATCTGAAAAGGCGTTCCAGCTGTGAAGCACTGGCTGGAGAAGTGCAAACACCTGCAGGATGGCCACTTCGTTCCTCAGCTGTCTCTCCTGTTGGGTCGGGAAGCGGGTCTTGTCGATGACTTTGATGGCGACCGATCGGCCCAACTTCCTGTGTGTACCTGGTGGAGGAGATGTCATTTAGTGAGAATGGAACTGCGTGGGTTTACTGCTGCAGACAGGTAAGAAAAAACCCCATCAGGATCTCACCTTTGTACACGACTCCAAACTGTCCTGAACCCAGAACTTCATCAGTAAAGATCTGATACACCGCGCTGATGTCCTGAAACACACACAGTGCCGAGCTCTGAAGCAGGAGAAGCTCTTCGTATGAACAGTTTCACCAGCTCAAATTTAAGGCTTTTTAAGACCCATTAGAGATTATTATCAATAAAATTTAAGACCTTTATCACAAAGGTACAAAAGAAACTCAGGGGAACAAAACTATGAAATTGCTGGGGTGTTTTTGTGACTCTTGGCAGCAACTTTGGGCTTCTCACAAAATGGAAGTGGCATATGCTAGCTGCTAATGAAACATATGCTAGCTGCTAATGAACCATATGCTAGCTGCTAATGAACCGTATGCTAGCTGCTAATGAACCGTATGCTAGCTGCTAATGAACCATATCCTAGCTGCTCATGTTAGGTGCTAATGAACCATATGCTAACTGCTAATGCCTTGTTTGTTTGCTTACTAGCTAGCTACACTAAATGTAAGTGAGCCTGCTAGCTATTAATGAACCATATGCTAACTGCTAAAGGCTTTTTTGCTAGCTAACTAGCTGGCTAGCTATCCTGCAGGTATTGTCAGCTTGTTACCAATGTTGCCTTGAGTCACAGGATGGGGAAAGATGTCTCCACACAACTCAAGCTTTAACCTTATAGAAAAGTCCCGCAGGAAAAATATACATAGAAAATATAAGATTAAATAGCCCTGCCACAACAAATTTTTAAACCCAGAACTAATGTATTTAAGGCCGACTTACATTTTCTTGAATGAGTTTAAGACATTTTAAGGCCTTAGTTTTAGCAAAATGAGTTTAAGCCTTTTTCAGGATGCGTGGACACCCTGTTGAACATTAAAATCAGATGCTTACCACTCCGTCTCCGTGCTGGTCTTTATCTGAAACCACAAGCACATTAAATATGTCAGTACCTTCATGGTCTTCCAGGACGCAGAGTTAAAACACAGTCGTTGACTCACCTTGCTGCTCCTCGCCTGGTCCTCTGCTGCTCTGCACGGGCATCAGAGCCTGACAGACAGCGCTCTCCCACGCCGCGCCGTCTTCACCGGCCTGCACGCAGAACACCAGCGAGGCCGTCACCAGCTCAAAGGAGTGCGGGTCGGCGCCCGGCAACGAGGGCATGGCGAGGTGGGCGGGGCCTCGCACCTGCAGCACCTCTGACAGAGGGATCTCCTGCAACAGAGGAGGACCAAAAGTTACCACCGAGGCGCTGAAGGAGATTTGGAAAAACGTCGTCATGTTGCAGATTCTACCTTGTAGTACTTGGTGCTGCTCTCATTCTGGTACAAGGTAATGGTTTTCCAGTCCAGGATCCAGTAATGACGTTTCCTCTGAGGGGAAGAAAAAAAAAGGGGCAAATTTTTTCCCCTCACTTTTCCAAGAATATTCAAAGAATTTACTCAAAGTCGACACAAAACCTAGGATATTCTTAATCTATTTAGATTTATGCTCTACTATGCACAGTGGGTCATTTTTGGGTCTTGGATGGGACCTAATTTTTGCGTCTACGCCTCATTTTTCAACCCAACAGGGACGCCATCAGCTGGCTGTGTTACTGAGCAGCCGTCTCTCACCAGGGTGTCTGTGTTGGTGTGGTGCAGCAGCCAGCCCTCCCTCAGGACCCCTGCTGCTCTCCTCTTAATGTGATGCGCCGACTGGACCAGCCTCATCAGGGGGATGTTGCTGCTGAAACAGGGGCTGGAGGAGGACAGGAGGACAGGAGGGTGAGGAGGAAACAAAAAATGAAAACTAAAACAATCAAGCGCCACATTTTGTTTTTTATATATAAAAAAAAGTTCCAGTGAATTCACTATCAACTTAGGGAAAGTATTGCTGCTGTGGATTGGTTCTGAATAGAAAACATGGAGAAAGGAAAAGAAGGAAGGAACTAAAGTCGGAAGAGTTGAATGAAGAAAGGATGGAAGGGTAGAAGCCCCCCAAAAAAACAAGAGAATGAGAAAGAAAACAAAATTCAAAGTCTTGTCTTGGGTGAAAATACTTCCACCCAACATAACAAGCCAATAAAGACTTGTGCCACAGAGAAACTGACTACATGCGTGTGGCTTTGTGGGCGATGCGATATCCGACATCATCAGGACACAGCAGCAGCGATGACATCATCCTCTCTCTAACCTCATTGGCTCTCTCAGCGACTCCACCTCGACCATCTCCGGCAGTGAGTCGCCGTCGGAGGACGTCTCGTCCTCTGAGGTGTCTAGTGTTGTGCTGGCGAGCTCCGACTCGGCATCCTCTGGGTCCTGTGGGAAGCT